CTAAAATTATGTTGTGACTTAATTTTTTTAAATCTAATTCATTTATAGGTAGTTATATGTTATTCTTCAATGACGTAAAATATTAAGGAATTTTATATACATTATTATCATTTTTTTATTTACATAGCTAACATCCAATTTTTTATATTTGTTTGACTAATATTTAAATTTAAAATAGCATAAAAATACTACTAATAATAATTTATTTAAAATAAAGTATGTATTTTTAAGTATATGTTTTGATACAATTCATACATTAAAATAATATATAGATAAATATAAAAAATTATATAGATATATAAAAGTATAAATTTATGATATCCCTCTAAAAATTATTTTAATTAATAATTTAGATTTATCTCTTTTTTATGTTCTCTTTCTTCTGGCGATAGATAAAATATTAAAATGTATCATATTTAAATATATTTTATTTTGCAATAGCAATTAATAATTCAACATTTTTATTTTCCTTAACCAAAAATATAAATCAAAACACAGCTTTTAATCCACGAATTTCAATATTTTAAAAAATATATATTAATTTTAATATTTTATTTTCTAAAAAATTTCAAATTAATTTTAATTTTATTACTCTCATAAAATCATCTCATTTCTATAATATCCATAATTATCTTCATAATATAAAAATAAAAAAATAAACATTATAATAATATTACATTCAATATAATTATAATATATCTAATCAATTTTTTAATTATTCTGAATTAAAATATTTTAAGTTTTGTGAAGAGATATAATTTAATAATAAAAGAAAATCTAAAAATCCCCCACCCGCGTGCTACATATACACGCAGAGTCACGGACGGCCCAGCGTGATCTCTTGAACTTCCGTGCTCAGCTCTCTTACGTGCTCAGCGAGCCATCGGAGATCATCAGCCTTCCTTCTTTGGAAATCCAAAGCTAGGGTTTTGACTCCAGAGTTCTAGCCCTTCTGGAGCTTTAACCTTAACCATGGAAGGCGCCGTCCGCTGTCAGCCTCTTCAGTTCATCTACAAAGCTACCGATTTTGGCCCGCGATCCTGCTTTCTCGCTGCCCGGTCGTCTGTCGGCGGCAGATCTCTTCGTCGTGATGAATGCGTGAAGGTTGGTTTCTCAATTCATACAAAGTTAGTTGGAATTGAGATTTGATCTGAGAGATTTTTTTTTATCCCGTCTATTTTGCAGCGTTTCGGTTTGATCTCGGATAATAAGAAAAGAGGGGAGCTTGGAATTATGGAAAAGGGGAAAGTGAGGAGGGAGATTAGAGGATCGTTAAATTCTTCTTCGGGGCATTTAGGGCCCTTAGATTCTTCTTCTGAGCTCGCTCCCTTGCAATTGGAGTCCCCGGTGGGGCAGTTTTTATCGCAGATCCTCCTCAGCCATCCCCATCTTGTTCCGGCCGCAGTTGATCAGCAGCTCGAACAGCTTCTCACAGAGATGGAGGCTGAGAAGAGCAAGGAAGAACCCAACTCTAGCGGGACCGAGCTCATCTTGTACAGGTAAAGATAGTCTTTACGCATTGTTTTGCTTCTGAAATTGGGATAATTAAGATTCCCCCTTAAATTATCAGGAGAATTGCCGAGGTGAAGGCGAAGGAGAGGATGAAGGCCTTGGGGGAAATCCTATATGCCTTGGTCGTCAAGAAATTTGTAGACGCAGAAGTTTCCTTGGTTTCATCAATGTCCCAATCCTCAAATGAGCCCGATGAGGTTGGTCACTGGCCATCATTGGAAGAGAAGTTCCAGACTTTGCATTCTCCCGAGGCATTTGAGATGATCAGGAACCACTTATCTGTTATATTGGGAAATCGATTGGAAGATTCGAGCTCCATTGCTTCCATTAGCAGGCTCCAAGTTGGGCAAGTCTATGCGGCCACTGTACTCTATGGCTACTTTCTCAAAAGAGTGGACCAGCGTTTTCAGCTTGATAAGTACATGAAAACTCTTCCTTGGGGTTCAGAAGAAGAGGGTCAGTCGGCTAAGGCAGCATCGACGGAGGCCGCAGCACCGGCTTCGAGCCCCTCTGCTCAGGTGAGTAGCTCCCATCCTGAGGAGCTCTCAGCAAGCTTCAGTCATGGTGGTTTTGCTGATAGGATTAAGCCATGCCGATTGAGGACTTATGTGATGTCTCTGGACTCTGAGACCCTGCAGAAGTTTGCTTCTGTGAGATCAAAGGAAGCTTTTAGCATCACTGAGAAGCATACGGAGGCATTATTTGGGAGGCCGGAGGTCTTCATTACACCACAGGGGGCCATTGATTCATCCAAAGATGACCTTATTAAGCTCAGCTTTTCTGGCTTGAAGAGGCTGATCTTGGAGGCTGTAACGTTTGGCTCCTTCCTGTGGGATGTGGAGAGCTATGTGGATTCAAGGTATCATTTTGTGACTTCTTAAGTAGATTGGAAATGGAAGTGGTGGGCATGAGAGAGCGAATTATTACGTCCGGACATCCAATCCATACGCACCACGTCACCCAAATACACTTGAACCCGGTGTATTTTGGTGATGTGGCGCGACTAGATTGGTTTCCGGATGAATCTGAACACCGGACTTAATAATTTGCCGCATAAGAGAGCTTCTCAATTCCATTGAGAAAAATGCTTTGTATGGGTTTAGAAATTGGTAGTTCTATAAATGAATTAATACAAGATGCTTTTTTTTTAATGGAAATTTTTTTCTTTCTTTTTATGCTAGGAGATCTGTGATAGGAACTATAATTATGCTAAAATTCTTTAAAAAAAACTATAAAAAAGTAGCTAAGCCATAGAAACTTTGACATTTGTGAAATTATTTGAGGTTGGCCAATTTGAAATAACTTTGATTTTTACAGGATCTACTGCCAATCTACTTGCAAGCATCACAAATTAAGGAATATAACCTCAATATGTCTAAAGAAGCATTTCTTAAGATTGACTTAAAGCTTGGCTTATCTAAATTTGGTCAAATTAATATCATGTGATTTAAGTGTACTTTCTCATGAGGAATGAAGATGAGAATATTATTAAAATAATCAACCAAAAATTTATTATTGAAAGCTTTTAGGATCATATTCAGGGGCAGAACCGATCTTGATTCTTAGGGGGGGGCAAATTTATAAATAACACCTCTACAAAATTTGTTTAATTCTGCTAGGGGTCAACTACCTAAAGATAACAGTATTTTAATTTTTAGGGGGAGCAATTACCTAAAAACTCCTATAATAAAGAGTAAACAAAAAGATGGAGGGAAACAAATTACCTAAATATCCATGTAATAAATATTTTTTAAATTTTTTTGGGGCAGGCAATTGCCCCCCTGGGGGCTACGTGGTTCCGCCCCTGATCATATTGGACATTAAATAAGCAAAAGGCATTACTAATCATTCATAAAAAGTCATATGAGAGTTTGAATGCTAACTTTCATTTATCCCTTAGTTTAATATTGATATGTTTGTATCCACTTTTGCAATTCAATCCTTTTCTTTTTTTCAAATTTTTTGAAAAGTTTTCAAATTAATTATAGAGAAATAATTTGAGCAAGTAATAAGATTGAACATGCCATTCAATATGATGGGTTGGAAGCTTATATTTAGGCTTCGTTTGGGACGGCTTTTTTATTGCTTCCTAAAGCAACTTTTTAGTATAAAAATTTTAATTTTGTTCTAGGAAGTTGCTTTAGGAAGCAGAAAGAAAGCTGTCCCAAACTAAGCCTTAGAAGTGGTCTTATTAACTTCCATACTATCTATGTACACTCCATATAAATCTTCTTTCTTTGGAATCAGTAATGATGGAACTGCATTAAGGTATTTTTTAAAAAGCCTTTCCTTAATAGTTTATCTTCTTCTCTTAAGTTTAGCATATTTTGTTGGGTTCATTCTGAATGTGGTAAGCCTGAATGTGGTAAGTTGGTAACTTAGATGCTGGCATGAAATCTATGATGTATTGAATATTTCTCATGGGTGACAGACCATTTGATGTATCATCAATTTATGTATCACTAAATTTAAAGAATAAGTCAGAGATCATAATAGCAAGGTTTTAAAAATCAAATCTGACCAGTCAGTTCGGTTCATCTTAAAAACTGGTTTTATATCAAACTATGTAGAACCAGTCTAAACCACTGGTTCAACCATCAAATCGTTGAGCCGGTCACGATTCTCTTGAACTATCTTGTTAAAATTTTGAATTATTTGAATAATTAAATAAATTATTTAAAATATTAAGTCATATTTGTAATTTAATTTTAAATTTGAAATGCTTAATTTTAAATTAAAACTTATCAACTAAACATTTCGTAACGTTTCATCACTTTAGGTAAGATATTACTTCATTATAACTCAAAAAATAATATAAAGTAAAAGCACTACCAAAAGAAAATTTCTTAAATGATAAAATTTTATTTGTTACATCATTCGGTTCGACCGGTCACCCCTTCTACCGGTTCATTGTCTGATCTTACTTGCATAATAGTATATATGCAGTACTCAATTGAATTGAGTGAGTCATCTTTCTCATGGAGTATGTGAAGAGAAGAATTAAACAAATTGGGGTCGGCCACCTCTATGTCATAGATAAAGAAATATGGTAAAATAAAAATAAAAAAAAATTTAAAAAAAAAATATGGTTTGCCTAGCACAGAATGGTGTAGGATGGGGTTCTTGATATAGGTTTATTCTTAAAATTTATCGATAGCCAATTTATCTCTCTTCTTTTTACGTATTAATAATATAATATACATGATAAAAAATCTTTTTTTTTTCGATCTTCAATAATTCTTTTTCGTTTAAGTTGTTAAAAAAAAGTAACTTTTTAGTATAGAAGTTCTTTAAAAACAGCAAAAATATAATAATATCATATTTTATAACGATCATCACCATTCAATAAATTGTAAATTGTTCACATCATCGAGTATAACTTTGACAATGTGGCCCGATGTAGAGAGTCCGAGTTGTTGTTGAGCTCAAGTCGAGCACAATAGAAGCCCTTAAAGGGCCATGAGAGATGCAAAATATCATTAAAGAAGATCAAAATTGAGTTTAATACACGAACAATTAGGGTTGTCAATTTCTAACCCGACTCGGAAAAATCCGGGTTCGGGTTGACCCGTTTAGCAAACGGGTCCGGTTCATGTTCAAAATTTTGACCCGTTTCAAAAACGGGTCGAGTTTGGGTTGACCCGAGAACTCGAAATCACCCCGACACTAACACGAAAGTCTACTCCAACCCGGTTTCCGCCCACACTCGCGACGTCGCTAGGCTCCAGCTGCTGCGCTCGCGCGGTGACGCGATCCCGCACTCGCATGCAAACTCCGCCAATCCTCCCATTGTCGTGCAATGCGCACGACTCAGCCGGTCAGCCTGCGCCCCGAACTCGCACGATCCGCACTCACGTCGTCGCGCGGTCCACAGACTCCGTCCGCACTCGCGCTGCAGTGTGCTCGGGACTCCGCGTTATGCAGCGCGAGTCGGGTTAGGTCAACCCAGCAACCCGCACGAGTCGGGTTTGAGTTGAAATGTCCTACCCATTTGAAAAACCAGGTCAGGTTCAGGTTGACCCGTTTAGATCCAGGTCAGCTCAGGTTCGACCCGAACCCAACCTGTCGACCCGAATTGACACCTCTATGAACAATCACTGACTCAAGATCATTCATTAAGTTCAAGCTCAACTTGTTAAAAAATTTATAAGCTTGAGCTCAACTTTATTGCTCAAGCTCGTTTAAAAATCTTGATTCAACAAGCTTACGAGCCAAGCCAAGCTGAGCTCAAGCTTGTTTAATATATGAGCTTGAGAATAAGCTCAAACATAAACTTATGGCTCCATAAGCTCAAATCATGAGCTCATTTTAGAACCAAATTCTCACTCACTCCAATGTTATCTTTCATTGGAGTGACTGTTTATGTAGGCATCTAAGCTCAAGCAAGTAGTAGACAATAACCATTAGATTTGCCTTTATAATTCTTATTGACATTCAAGCTGTTTTTCCAGCTACATAAATGAGCATAGCATAATGAACAATTATTTTTTTCAGATTGATGACCACAGAAACATAAATATTAATAAAATTAATATGACGAGGACAAAAAGCACAATTAAGATCCAATATTATGCTGAATAACACAATTACTCGACCGACAGATCAAGATGAGCTACGTAATGACTTCTAATAATCCCTGGATGCTCAACACATCCCCATATTTTAGTTTGCATCAACTCTAATTAAGGGGCCATTTGATAGATGAGGGTAAATAAATGAAAAAGATTGTTATTTTATTTGATTTGAAATAAAATGAATGCAGTCTAAAACCCAACGATATTTATAGTTGGCAACTGGCGATAATGGATGGCAACAGCAATAACGAATAGTGATGGCAGTGACCATGGCCACGATCAAGCGGTCGATGGTGGCTAGCAATGGCAGCTGGCCACCGGCAACAAAAATATACCGTGTATTGTAAATTAGTCAAATCTAACGATTTTCAAATTTGAAACACCTACGTTTAGAATATTATTCCTTCATTTACTTCAAACCAAACAAACCCTTTCTATACGGACGCCGAACGCCGTCCAGAGACCAACTAAAATGCGCCACATCACGCCCTGCTCGGTAGTGCTCGGAATCGTGGCTTGGTACCCAGCTCGGTAATGTTAACGTGAAACATTCTAGTTGGTCTCCGGACGATAAACTGTGTTCGGTATCTGCACAAAATAACTTCCCCAGAAAAAGGCTATAAATGGGACCATATAACAGATATGAATGATTAAAACATTAGCTTCTAATCCAGACAGTTCAGATTCAGAATCAAATCTTTGCACAATTAATTGAAGGACATAACCAAATTTAAATATTTAAGAAAATTTTAGGCATTGTATGCTATGCTAAGTCCTCCTAACTTCTACAAATTTAAATTAAAAAATAAACTGATGAAGAATATCGGATTTCGGATTAGTGCTCAGATAATTACATGAAAACTACAAGAATATCAAAGGGATAGCACAAAATCAACTGAGAGTGAAATATATCAATAATCCAGAGATAGGGGAGAGTAAGAAAAAAACTGAATAGACAGAAAGAAACCAACCCTGAGCCAGCAGAGCTATACACAAAGCCACGAGACCACCTCAATCAGACTAGCAAAAATTGCACCGAACCTGCATGGAATGATTCAAATGTTACACTACAGATTATAAATAACATGGGAAGAACAAACTCTGAGAAAAATGGTGAACAAAATTCAGCTCAGGAACCTCTCGTTGATTTCTGGGTAATGACAAGAATCAGCACAAATTAAAAAGTTAGAAAATAAAGACAGCAGAGTCCTACACTATTCAGGAACAAGTTGAGAGCAGTAGGTTGGATGATAATACAACAAGCAAATCTTTTTTTTTTTTAACTTTAGACCAAATTCACGTGCAGCTAATATTGGCCAGTTGGTTGGGAGCTTTGATTACCAACCAAGAGATTTTAAATTCAAGTCTTTCGTATGTGATGTAAGTATAAACTTGCCTTAATTGATATAAATGTTCCCCAGAAAAAAAGACCAAATTACTTTAACGGCAAAAGCTTCGGGCAACTTTTGTAAAGGAGTCATAGCAAAAATTGAAGATAACTAGCATGGCTTAGAAAATTATTGAGTCATAACAATCTGCTATAGGGGTGCAAACTAGATGAGTCGAGTTCGAGTCAGGATGTGTTCGAGTCAGGATGTGTTCGAGCCGAGCTCGACTGTCAAATACGGAGCTCGAACTTGAGTCGAGCTCAAAAGTTGAGCTCGAGTCGGGCAAGGGAAAAGGAGCTCATCGAGCCGCACTTCGAGCCTGTTAACGAGCCTCGCGTCAGCTTCTGCATTTTTCGTCTGTGTCGTCCGCCTGAGCTCCTGCATCATCCGCCTGAGCGCCTGTGTCGTCGACCTGAGCGTTGTTCACGTCTTCGCCTGCATCATCCCAATGAGCCAAGGCTTTCATTTTCCCGCGGTATAATTTTCCCCGCATTCGCTTCTGACCTCCTGCGTCGTTTTCATCTTCCCGCCCGTCGTTTTCATTTTTCCCGCCGCTATTACACGAGCTGCTCAACGAGCTCGCAAGCCGAGCAGTTGGGTGTTCGAACTCGGGCTCGTTAAGCTGTCAAGCTTGAAATTGTGTTTGAGTTCGACTCACGAGCTCGATAAGCTCGACTCGTTGAAATCATTAATGAGTCATGCCCGAGCCAGCTTGACTTGGTTGCATCCCTAGTGCTATACAGGAGCAGAGTGTGGCGTTCATTTCCTAGGTGAGGAAAGTATGGTTTTCTTCCAACTATAGATGATCAGTGGAAAATAATAAATATCTGAATTGGAGGCCCAGAGACCAGTAAGAAAACAGCTCCAAATAACAATCTCTCTCTCTCTCTCTCTCTCTCTCTCTCTCTCTCTCTCTCTCTCTCTCTCTCTCTCTTGTGCCAACTTTTTTCAGGCTAACCTACATTCATATCGTTTGATTCCAGAACCAATATAAACAATATCATTCTACCAACATGGAACCTAGAGAAACATCTAATGGAACTGATACGTAAAAAACTAAAAAAACAACAAGGTAAATGATAGATAGGCAACTTAAGGATGTCTAAAACTGCAATGATCGATTTAAGGGGAAGAGCTTGGAAATTTGAGGATACCTACAAGTGCAAATAGTCATTGGGTGTGTGTGTGTGTGTTGTGTTGTGGGGTTGAGAACAGATAATACCTAATAATCTACTAACTAACATAACTCATTAAACTACAAATATACATTTATTTGTATCAGAAATAGAAAGAAATACAGGTTATTTGTCACAGTCGAATGAAACTTGATGGTTACATTTGATATCTGCTTATGCATCTTAAACATAAGAAAAATCCTAGCATAACCCAAAACACAAATGTGTCTGTTGATTTCAAGCAGAAAAAATAAAGAAGGTTATACATAGAATATAATGACTACTGGAAAAGGGAGGTCAGGGCTGAATCTATAGATGTTTCGTGGAAATCATGGGGAATAGTTGAATGTCAAAGCACCATAAGAGGCCTTTACACTGGAACAAATGTCAATTAATGCTCTAGTAGGTACAATCCGAATCTGGTTATTGCTTGAAGGTATTTGATTATTTCTTCTTTATACATATTTATTATTAAATGTCTAATAATAACCAAATGTAATTTTTCAATAGCCAAATGATATTAGACAATAACTCGATTGAAGAAATTTAAAAGACAACTGGTAATTATCAAATCTGGTTTAAAGGCATCGATATGTTAACAAAAAATGACTAGATTGAAGGAAAGTAAAAGAGACTAAATGTAGAGCAAAATAAATAAATTTCTTCTTTGAAAATGACTAATAAGTATTATTTGAAAATGTTAGGACTAGACAAATATATAGTTAAACTCTAAGACCTTAGAACAATTTTTTTTTCTTTTTAGGAGAAATTAACTTAAGGTCCTATAGTTGAAAACTATTTATTTTTTAATCATTTGATTTTTTTTTATAATTTTTTTAGCTCTACTGAATTTTATTTTTCAATGTTTATCAAAAAAATAGTTTTTAGGAGAACTACTTCTTCATTGTCCATCTCGCATGAGTGCCCCAAAAGCTTTACTAGCTTCTTGACAACACAACACTAACATGATGATAAGCCATAACCACAAAAACAAGTAATGACACACTATGAATATACAACAACAACAACAAGCCTTTGTCCCACTATGTGGGGTCCGCTATATGAATCCTTTTTCGCCATTATGTCATGTTAAAAGTCAAATTCTCATTTCAATCTAATAAAGAAATATCATTTCTAATATTTTCTATATATATATATATATATATATTATGATTAAAAAACAAAACATTAGTAATAATAAAAAAATGCTTCATCACGTGACCATTCATTAAACTTTTTTCGATGTAGAACACTTTTCGAGAGAGGATCTCTCTCTCCAAAATCTCTAGACGCCTCTAGAGCCCAAAAAAAAATTAAGAGATCAAATTTCAGCCAAATTCAAGATGCCCTAACCCTAGGAAAACAAATTATTTAATGTATACAATTCAAAAGGAAATCTCTAAACAATCCCTACATTCAAATTTCCTTGCTAAACTTCTCCTAAAATCTTCCTAATCGGTTCCTCTGAACTGGGCAGCTTGATCGTCATGTATAGGAGGCGGAGACTTCCGCCTCTATTTGCCTGGGTCGATCTCGTATGGATCGGCTGAAACGGTCCAATAGACTAGTCTAACAATACTCCCCTTACAAAGACACACCTTGTCCTCTTCTCCATTCCTTCTTCATCATAAACGATAAGAACCTAAAGGTTCGATACTTACACATGTGCCCCAGCGTATACCTCTCGCCACATCTGAAATAGAGCCCCTTCATCCTTTTCACCTGTAATTTTGTTTCTGTAAGTGAAAGCTTTTTGAAGTTGTCCTTCAGTCTTACTCCTACAGCCTTCATCGAAGTCTCCAGAATAGTATCCAATGTCGGCTCCTTGGGTGCAAGAAAAGTGGAGGTCCTTCTATTTGGACCTCCTGAGTTGCTACCTCCCGTCTCTCTCTACAAGTGCCTCTACTCCAATTGAGCTAGCTCCATAACCTCTCCCAAATCACGATGTCTCATTACTCTAACTGTTGCCCGAATTTCTGGCGTCAGTCCCTTCATGAAATTTTCCTCTAACACTGTCTCAGGAAGAAGGTCCAATCGACTAACAAGGTACTTGAATCTCTCCCGATAGTCCATCACTAAACCATCCTGTGTCAAGGCGAAAAATTGCTCGTAGAAATCTCCTCCCCTGCTAGTTTGGAAATGTTCTAACAAGCAGTCCTTAAACTACCTCTAGGTCCTTATCAGTCGCCTCGTATCCCTCCATTGGTACCATGCTAAAGCTTTCCCTTCCATGCATATCTCGACTGCCGTCAGCTTCTCCTCCATTAACCTATTGAGAGTAAAGTACATTTCCACCCTATAAATCCACCCATGTGCATCCTCTCCCTCAAAGATAGACATCTTTATTTTTCTCACCCTCAAATCGCCTTCATTCCCTTTGATCTCTTCATAATTTTTCCTTCCCCAACGGGGTGGTTCTCCCCAAGTGTCCAATCATCCCTTCTACGTTCATACCCCAGCCTTTCATCAAATTCTCACCTTCTCCTCTCAAATTCAGCACCCCTTGGATCATAACAAACCCCTCCCCTTTCAAATTCAGCACCCTTTTAGTCATAATTACTCATTTCCCTTTCCAATCTTGCCCCTCTTCTCCAAATTAGCACATCTTATTCTTGCCCTACCTCCTCACGCTTCTCATATCCTCTGTCCGGCTCCTCCCTATGAATAGGATCTAAAAGAGGTATTCTCTCTTCTCCCTTTCGAGTCTCCACCTCTTGATCTCCCCCTTGTCTGATTGGCTTAGGATTTTTCCCATCTCCCTGGTTATCGGCGTCTTCCCTCCCCTCCGACGGCAATATTTTGGTTTGGCCCTTGAGCACTTTTTTCACATCTCCCCGGGCTGGAAACGTTCTCATCCATCTTCTCGTGGATGACTGAAACGTCTTTTTTTTAAATCTGAAACTTGAGTATGTAGATCTGAAATTTCATATTTCATTTGTCCGATCTCCTCCACCTTTAGGCGTTTCTCCAACGTATTCACTTTCTTGGCCATATCAATACCCGAATTTTTGTAGACTCAAAAATATGGAATTCGACACTTGAAAACAGCAAATAGCCCCTCTTCCGACTAAAAAAAGCAGCTGATTTTCACTAAAAAAAACCCCAAAACAGTCCCAAAATCTGCTGTGATACCAATTTGATAGCAAATACTTGAATATTTATAGTAATTCCTATCAATTTCGGAAAAACAGCAAGAAAAACTCTTCAAAACTCAACGAAAACCAAAAAAACAATAATTTTTATTGCAATAATCTTATATTCGAGAGGAGAATTTATCTCTCCCAAATCACTAGACGCCACTAGTCCAAAGAAACTAATAGAGCTCAAATTTCAACCAACTTCAAGATGCCCTAACCCTAGGAAAGCAAACTATTTAATGCATACAATTCAAAAGAAAATCTCTAAACACTCTACATTCAAATTTCCCTCCTAAACTTCTCCTAAAATCTTCCTAATCAATTCTTGTGAGCTGGGCGGC